TCTCTTTCAAGCGGTGATCGACTGGATTATGAATACGTCAACATCTGAAGGAAAGCACAGCATAATGTGAACAGTTAGGAAGCAGTCGGACGATCTGGAATTCTCAGACAATCTAACTCTTCTATCGCACAGGCAACAACAAATCCAAGAGAAGACGACAAGTGTGGCAACAACCTCTGCAGAGGTAGGCCTAATCATACACAATAGAAAGGCAAGATCATCCGATGCAACACAACATGCACTAACCAAATCACATCTGACAGCAGACAGACAGATACAACGCAGAAATTCGTACATAAGTACATCAGTTCAGGTTGCCAACCACATCAACACACAGACGCAACTGTCAGTTCAAATCCAACAGTGATAGCCATAGTAGAAGTATTAGCAGTAATGGAGAAGATTACGGAGCGAAGATATGATTCGAGAAGTATAATTTCAATGAGGTAAATTTAGCAGGAGAAAGGTAGAGATTATGAGGAATTCAGAAGGTTAGAATTAGAGAGAACACAAACAATGGATGCACTTGCGCCAGTGCAAACGATTGTGAGAGATGTCATTCAAGGTCTCTAGCCATCGGTGACTATCGTCTCACGGACCCCAACCAGATAGCCTACACCTACCAACATAACTCAGTTCACTTCACTTCATGGATATGTGCCATGCTTTGGCCATCCCTAGCTTTCTTCCAACCTACTCCTACACCACAAAACGTAGCTCGTCGCGGCAGTCGGTGGTTAGCCATACTGATGGGCAGAACACTTTAGGGATCGGTTCAACATCTGACGGAGAAGCTTTTTTAGAGGTGAAAACCTTTACATATCTCGGCAGTATAAGTAATGAGTGGATTTGATGCCAATGTGAAGGCGTCAGATTAGTAGAACAAGGGAAAGATTTCTCCATTTGAAGTAAATCTGGGATTCCAAACAACTCTCTGTTAAACAAAGCCCAAGTCACAATGTTCAAACGAAACTCAAGACATTTCTGTTGAATGGAGCTGAAACCTTGAGAACTACAAATACCCATCATCTACAAGATACAGCTGTTCACTAACAGTTGTATACTCAAGATAGTGTGAAATGTTGGTCAGACACCAGAGCTACTATGAGAGAAAAGAGACCAAACTGCATCTAACGAAGAGTAGTAGAAGTGGATAAGACAAAGCTTGAGGAAAGCACCCACCTATATCACAAGATAAACTCTCAAGGTCAAAGGAAAAAAAAAAGGGAAACACCAAACAACGAACAACCATTGGTTAGAACTAGAAAGGAAGTAAATTTTAATCAATCGTTCATAAATTTCATTTTACTTCATTTGTAAACCAAAAAATTAAATAAATAATTTTTAATCAATGCATTTTGTACATAAATCATCATTTATCTTTAAATTTGTGTGTATGTATGTATGTGTGCGTGTGTATTCAAAGTTGACGAGTAGTCAGTCAATTAAACAAGACATCCATTATTGATCATTGAATAAATCAGTTTAGTCGTTCATTTAAAACAAAAATATACACACGTACATTTAGATAATGATGATGATGATGATAATGTCAAGCTCATGTTTTTTTTTTCACATTTCTTACAAAACAATTCAACAAAATCAATTTTCATATTTCAGTTTTTGACGTTTTTTGAAATGTGAAATGTTTGTTTTAAATTCACTAAGTGAACCGCTGTTTTTTTTTGTATTTGAATAGATTAGCGCGCGAAAAAGTTTGAAAATATTTTTTAATAATCTATGAATTTAATTGACTGATGAAATAAAAGAAAAATTTAAACAGTCAACCTATTCCTACACTACAAAACAAAGCTCGTCGAGACAGTCGGTGGTTAGGCATACGCAACAGGTGTCTCAACCACCTCAACTGATGAAGTTTCAATATTTAATCTATTGATCTGCCATTCTTACCTATCACCCGTTTCCTAATAATAGCGTTGCTCACTCCGGTGTCCCACGATATACGAGCAATGCTTCGAAGACATCTATGATCGAAAACCAATAACCGACAAATTTCTTCTACTCTCACTGGTCATGTTTCACAGCCATATAAGAGAACGGAACGAACTACTGCACAGTACACTCGTCCTCTAGTTAGCAAACGGATATCTCTCCTACGTGACGCAGGTTGGCGAAAGCCAATCTAGACTTCTGTATCCGAGCTGAGATTTCGTCAGTCACCAGGCCACCAGCACTGGTGAGACTCCCAAGATAAGTGAAGCAGTCTACACGCTCGACTACTTCACTCCCTATCACTAGTTCAGGTGCCGATGAAACTCAGTATAACAGGCATGAGATTTAATCCAATCTCTGACTGAAATTTGACAACACACCCTATGCGGATTGCTTCAAATCCCACAGTTAACATCAACTCTAAGATGTGGCATGTGCACATCCAACTGACGAGTTCCGAATATGATGAAAGATGCGGCCGGAATTCCGCTGCTGCTAGCCAACGATCTATCTATTCATAAACACTATACTGGCGAAACCTAAGCATACATCAACCAAGATTGATCGAATTTCAGTCAAAATACTAACAACACGAAATCATTTTCAATCGAATTAACTACTTTGAAATGTTATTCCGATTAGCAGATTAGTAGGTTTGATGAAGAGTGCCATACAACGCCGAAAGGGTCATCCAGTACTCCTAGGTTTCGTATGGTGGTCTAACAATGATTGATTCATGATTTAAACGTTGAAAAAAATTGTCAGTATCATGTTGAATCAGTTAAATATTCGAACTGTACCCAATAATCTGGCACAAATCGAATTTCAAAATTCTCAAATCTTACTTAATAAAACACATTGACATTATTTAGTTTCAAGTTAAATACCTAAAAATTATGAATTAATTTGCACAGTGCAACTACAATTCTATGGTCACTGCCGGTGTAAAGCCAGGATAAATGAGAAGGGTTGATCATGCGGTTAACGACCCCATCCCACAGAAATCTAACTCGCTAAGACAACACTAACAACGACGTATTCTCCATTAGAGGCAACAGGAGTAAATAATTAAGATAGAACTTTGAGAATTCTTCTCGATTGATTGTCATCACTTCAAAACTCAAATAATCTAAGAATGATGGCGAACAGTTTGAAACAAAAATGAAGCCGTTGTCCAATTTTTATCGAGTTGAATTCCATTGACAGCGTTCAGTTAGACTACAAAATGTAAACACCGTTTTGGGGTGCACGAGACGACAGTCACCAATCGTTAGAGACCTAGAACGACATGCCTCAAAATCGTTTGCAATGGAGTAGGTGCATCCACTCTTTGTGTTCTCCCTAATTCTAACCTTCTGAATTCCTCATAACCTCTATATTTCGCATTCTAAATTTATCTCACTGAATTATACCCTAATCTTCTCCATTACGAGTAATACTTCAACTATCACTAAAACTATTGGATTTGAACTGATAGTTGCGTCTGTGTGCTGATGTGTGGTATGGCAACCTGAATTGATGTAAGTGAATACGTACGAAGTTCTACGTTGTATCTGTCTGTCTTTGTAATGCTTTAAAAAGTGTAGCAGATGATTTATATACGATTGATTCGAGCTGAATTTTAAGTCAAACAGAGAGAAAGACGGTCAGTCATCTACAACGTAAAACTTCATACCGGTACGTACATCAGTTCGATACTACAATGGCACACAGAGAACGAATTGTCAATTCGACTTCCATAGTAGTAGAAGATTAGAGATCAAAGATATAATTAGAGTAATACATCCAAGTGAAATCAATTTATAAAAGAGAAGAAAGGTCATCAGCAATGCAGAAGATTTGAATCGTGTCATTCCACGTCTCTAACCACCGGTTATTAATGTCTCACCGACCCTAACCAAGTAGTCTTTACCTACTAGCATGGCTCAGTCTCGTTGTCAATCACTTGTTGAAGTTGCGCCATGTTTTGGTTTTGCCACCACTGGCTTTCTTCCAACCTACTCCTACACCCCAAAACATAGCTCATCGAGGCAATCGGCAGTTGGGCATATGTCACACATGTCCCAACCACTTCAACCGATGAAGATTCACTACTTCATCAATTATTCAACCATCTGTACGTAGAAATCTTTACCCAACCTCAGCAGATTGAACGTTCTAACATGAGTTGAAACAAAACAGTGTAGAATTGTCAAGCTAACAATTTGACTGCTTAGACCTCAATACTACAGTAGTCAGTCAGTCAGTTACAACGTAGAAGTTCGTACGTACGTACGTACATCATTCCAGGCTGCCATACCGCATATTAGCACAGACACTCAACCTCAAATTCAAATCCAATAGTGGTAGCAATTAAGATAGAAGAAATGTTAGGAGCAGTAGGATGCATTTGTTTATGATCGATTTGGTCTCTCGTGCTGTTACAAGTATGATGGCGGGTGTCAATACTATATAGACAAACAGACAGATATAAAGGATTTGATTTTGACCGATTCCATCTCGTGTGCTTTTATGGGTATGAGGGAGGTTGTCACTTCCCGGATGCCCACACCGTGGAAGGGTGTTTCTTGAGAAACTTGAAAAGGAAGGTAGATTAGTGTTGGTCTTAATGAACTGGGAGCGTGACCGCAGAGTTCAATGGACAACTGCTTCAGGCCGATCACGGAAGGCCTTTTTATGAAAGGTTTTTTGAGTACTAGCTCCACTCTTTTAAAGCCCTTAGTGGGCACCCTTACCCAAAAAGACGGAAATCCGTCAGGTAGGGTGAGATGTGACATTTTTAGTGTCGACCCTTTTCTTACCCTTCCCTTCCTTATGAGAAAGCAGCATCGCTGTAGATGCTAGTTGTCCGAGGGAAACACCTTACTGCTGTCACACCCCTCCATCACAGTTAGTCAGCAGTACAACTTCGCCCTCATAACCTTGAGTACTACATACCTAACTATACACAGCTGACTGATTGACTGACTGACTCTACACACACAATTCATTTGTTACTCTAACCCCCAAACACAATCCATCTCTTCTAACAATAAACAGACACACACAGAAACAGTAAAACCATATACAAATTAATGTATAAACTTATTTCATGATTCATGATTATTTTTTACCGAAAAAAATATACAAAAAATCATTAAAAAATAACACAGAAAGTCAGATTAAATAACAAGACAGTTGAAAAAAAAATTTGAGACCAAAAAAGTAAAATCAATTTTTTTTTAAATAAAGAAAAATTATTCCCTTTTAATGAAACAATAAACTAGAATCGATTTTTTAGTTCCGTGTTTGTGTGTATGAAGTGTGCGTGTCGATAAGTCTCTGTGTAATCATGAAGTGTGTAAGTGAAATGGTACAATCGAATTCTGTGTTACAGTAGATTGAATCAGCTAGCCAGCCAGTCATCCATTGATCAAGCGTTTTTCATGAAAAAAACAATTCTGTACGTCAAATCAGATTCCATTGGAAGAAGAAATCAGGAAGGAGTGGTGGAAGTGGATAGGACACACACATTACGAAAAGCACCAAACTGCATCACAAGACAAGTCCTTACATGGAACCCTCAAGGTCAAAGGAAAAGAGGAAAACCAAGGAACACATTACTCCGAGAAATAGAGAAAGATATGAGAGGAATGAACAAACATTGGACAGAAATGGAAAGGGAAGCCCAGGACAGAGTTGGTTGGATAAAACTGGTGAGCGGCTTGTGCTCCATTGGGGGTAACAGGCATAACTAAGTAAGTAAGTACGTCAATGTACGTATGCATCAGTGAGTGACTGAGTGAATGAATGAACAGTACGCTGACCGACTGGAGAAGGCATTGAAGTTACAGACAAAACACATGTACATGGAAGTGTGAGTGTGTGTGTGCGTACGTACGTAGAAAGTAGGGAAAACGAAATTCAAATTCATCAATCAATCAATCAATCAACCAATCAATTAAAACAAACAAACTAACAACCGCGCTAAATTTCATCAACGTGAACGTGCTATTTCACTGAAATAATTTTGTAAATCTCCCATAGTGAATTCGAGTTGTACACCGGAATCTGGATAACATTGTTGAATCAGATCGCTGAAACGTAAACATTGAGTCATAAACTCTGTTTGTATTGATCGCCAAACAACCTTGAAATTTTTAAAAACCAAATTCAACAAAA